CACATGCCCATGGTGCAGTTATATTTATTCAAATAAAACACTTGTACACAGAAAATAAAATTTGAAAGTACACGACAAGCATGGCAGTGGCGGCTCACGCCTTTTATTCCAGCAATCAAGAGACAGAGGCAGGCAGATCTCTGAGTTCAAGGCCAGTCTGCTCTACAAAACAAGTTCCAGGACAGCCAGGGCTACACCGAGAAACCTTGTCTCAAAACAACAAAAACAAAAACACAACAACAACAAATGAAAGATATGACAATTGTGACAACAAGCCCAGTGCAAGCTCAAATAATACTAAATCCCAGCGGGGGGTGGGGAAGAGGGGTCCCTAGCTTAGAAGCTATTGGCAACTGATGGCTGCTGAGAGATGGAGAGCCAGTTAAGTTTTAACTTCAGTAAGTTAGACATGCTCCAGTGAGGACCACACATCCAAAAATATATTGGCAGCAAAAACTGGACATGAAGGCTGCAGAGTTGGCTGGGTAGGGAAGGGAGTGAATATGAAAACACATCGGACAACATCCTCAACTAATAAAAGTAAAACATCTTTTAAGGAAAACAAGCTTGTGAAAAGGTGACCAAAGTTCCAGGGAGAGAGTCAGTAGCAGGGTTAGGCGTGTGTATAGCAGGGCAGTGCAGATTTGAGGGAGAGAGTCAGTAGCAGGGTCAGGCGTGTGCATAGCAGGGCAGAGCAGATTTGAGGGAGAGAGCCAGTAGCAGGGTCAGGCGTGTGCATAGCAGGGCAGATGTAAGTCAGAAGGCAATGTCTCCAGGAATACTGTATTGCATTTCTCTTACACCACAATCACACAACAGCAAATTCCCATTTCAGGGCACGGGAAAGCAAGCCATGAAAACGCCTTTATTACACCAAGAGCAATATACTCAAACAGCCCTCTTCTGGGGCCACTCTGTAGGAACTGGGCAATGATGTGACAAGGGTCTCCTTTCAAACGTACCATAAATGAAAGCTCCTCGGAGCCCAACTCTAGAAAATGCGACGGGAAAGAGAGAGAATAGCCCCAGGGAACTGCCAAAGAGACAGGCATGGCCCTGTGTAGGGAAGCAGATAAACAAATCACTGTGGCCCTGGTTGCATATAGGACACTCATCCCCACCTTATCCTGCACTCGGGTTCTAGACAAACATAAGGAGAGCGGGATCCACCCTTTTACTGGCTGTCTTATCTAGCCATGAGCCCCGTGTTGTCCAGAGGACTTTTCAAACAGCACCATCCTCCAAGATTGTGGCATGCTTGCTGAAGGGGGCTGGGCTCCATCCTGAAACCACCCGGGCTGTGAACCATGGTTCCCTGGGGAGTGCATCGTTCTTCTAGGCTTGCTGAGATGTGAACTAGACTGAGAACCACGGTGTTCGTGACCATACTTAGAATCAACAGGAGCGGTGTGAAGAGTGCTTTCGGATTACACGTTCACTTGTCTATAAAAACAACACTGGATTTCGCTTGCCTAGTTGCACTCGCCTATAATCCTAACATTTGGAAGGTGGAGGCACGGGGATCAGGAGCTCGGGGTCATCCTTGGCTACATCTTTGAAAAGAGCTGTCCGGCAGCTGGCCTGAGGGTTAATCTCGCACGTTGTTGCGAGGTTAACAAGGACGGGACGCAGCTAGGTCCTGGATGCCTGTCTGCTAGGGGACGATCCTCCAGGCGGGAAGGCGGCTCTTCTGTCCTCCGCGAGGTCAGTTTCCACTCCCCATGCCTGCAATGTTGGCTTCGAGGCCGGAGGAAGGCGGCCACGGACATCGAGGACCAAACCTCGTCCCGGGCCGCGGGAGATCAGGGATCGGGAGGCGGAGAAACCTCGCGTGATTCCTCGAAAACCTCGGGATTTCCGGGCAGGAAGTCAGGGGGCGGGCTTAGTGTGGCTTTAGGGTTTCGACACTAGAGTGGAAGGAGGGGATTTGGAGGACTGAGCGTTCCAGGATCAAGAGCAAGGCAGGAAGCGGGATCAGGGATCTGACGGGGAAGGGGCCTGGGGCGATAAAGCCAATCCTTGTCAGGGAAAACGGAAGTGGGCGGGGCCGAGCCTAACTTGTGTGTGACAGGGGCTACTGTTTCCGGACAGGCTACGTGCAGGAGGCGTGACTTCTCTTTGACTGGCAGGTCTTGAGGGCGGGGTTTGAAGCTGACTGGCCTCTCTAGGAGACAAAGGGTCCTGGTGCAGGAGTAGTGCCCCCAGCTCCTACCCCCACCTCCTCTGAATGCTCATTTCTCAGGAAAACTGCAATCGTGTGGGAACAGCTTGGAGAGTGTACCTAGCTAGGATTTGTCTCGAGAGAGCCTGTGATATGCCCCATTGCTAACCCTCCTTAGATGAGCTGCCAGCCTTTGCGATGTCCACAGAATGCAGACAGTTCTGTTATGAAACTTTCTTGCTAATTTTGTCTTGCACGGTTGGGTTGTTGCCCTCCTCCCCAAATGAGTTTATCTTGTACGGATTCACCAGTAAAAGTTCAAGGCCTCTTCAGGGCAGTGTTGAAAAGTCACAGCTTAACTGTTACAAGAAGGTAGGATTGGCCGGGGCTTCTGGGGCTTGGAAGGATGCCTTGGCATGACAGACAGGATGGAATGAAATTGAAGCTGGTCACCTAAGTGTTCCATATTTAATCAAGAATGAGGCTATTTACTTATGTCAAACTTTAAAATTCAACATTGGAAACTCCCTGGTGGCTGAGACTTTTTGTTTTATTTTTGATAGGGTACTGAAGACTGAACCTAGGGTTGTGCACATGCTGGGCAAGCACTCTGCAACTGAGCTATACCCCACTTTTTAGTTTTTACTTCAAGACAATCTCTCACGGAGTTGCTCAGGCTAACCATGAGCTTCCTTAGTGGCTTTAGTAAAAGATTTGTGTATAGTTGTGGACCACCGGTTTTGCTGGTCTGTAAACAAATTGGACCCAGGGAGGTGTTCCTGAATGTCACTGGGACCAGGTTTAGCAGGTGGCAGGAGAAAGGAAACACAGTGGTTGGAAGTCACAGCTCAGCTGGAATCCTGCTCCATCAATTTTCTCCGCTTTTGTCTGAGACAGAGCTTCTGTAGCCCTGGCTGTCCTGGAATTCACTCTGTAGATCAGGCTGGCCTCAAACTCAAAGATCTACTTGCCACTGCCTCCCAAGTGCTGGGATTAAAGGGCGCACCACCATGCTCAGCATCTTGTTGCTATTTTTGTTTGTTATTTGAAACAGGGTCACATGTGTCCCAGGATGGCCTCCAACTTGCTATGTAATTGAAGACCTTCAATTGTCAACCAGGTATGATGATGAGTGTCCTTAAAAACCCAGCACTTGGGAAGCAGAGGCAAGCAGGTCTCTCTGAGTTCAAGAGAGATGCTCTATGCTATCTGGGGCTACATAGTGTCTTAGAAAAGAGACAAAAACCCTTATCCTCCTGCCTCAACCCCCAAATGCTAGGATTACAGGAATGCAACCCCATGGCCACTGATGTGCAACTTTGGTAATGTCTCTAAACTCATGTCTTTTCTAAGAAAGGCAGAATGTGCCTGTCTCAAGTTTCAAAGATCAACAACTAAAGGTGTTGGCTTCATTGAGGCTGGCACCACACGACGCACTCAGGGGCTGGTGTCAGCACTCTTCCCACACAAGTAAATTGTTACCCCAAGACGAGTGACTCAGGCCCACTTGATGTGGGACTATTTAACCCTAAAGATTTCACCCAACCACTTATTAAAAGCTGAAAGTGGGCACAGAAGGGCTCTTTCCTTGCGTGGAGTGGGGTACAGATATTGTAGTAACTTTATCTTTTCTTTTTCTTTCTTTTTTTTCTGAGACAGGGTTTCTCTGTGGCTTTGGAGGCTGTCCTGGAACTCACTCTTGTAGACCAGGCTGGTCTCGAACTCACAGAGATCCACCTGCTTCTGCCTCCCGAGTGCTGGGATTAAAGGCGTGAGCCACCAATGCCCAGCTATTTTAGTAGCTTTAACCATGGTAATTTCCTTGTATCTAACAAGGCAAAGACTCCAGGAAAGAAAGCAATAGTAAATGACTCTTCCCAGCTATATGCAGGAACAAGTTTCCTACCTCATCTCCAGGGTGGGAAAATGTTATAAAAGTAAGGAGGTTAGTGAGATGGCTCAGGAGATAAAGGTGCTTTCCTCCAAGCCTAACAACCTGGGTTCAATACCTAGGACCCAATCACACACACACTGGTGTGCGCATGCATAGACTGGAGAACCCTGGGTTCCCTGACAGCTTCACTTTGGGGGGAGCATGAAACCGTTGTCCTCCTGTCCCCTCTCTGGAGGTTTCCTACAGACCAGAGCTCACCACTCCACACCAAAGTTCCTTAAAGAAACTAAGAAGCCAAGAGCTTGAATTAATAAATACATGAGCAGCCCTCTCAGTGAAGAAAGAAAAACACACTTTCTTCTTCTGAGGGACTTGGTGCTGGTCAGAGGACCCGCTTTGTAAAGTCAGAGAGCCCTCTGCTGGGAGATGAGGCTCCCTACAGGGAAGAGTTTGGGAGAAGGAAGGGAAGGCTGAAGGCAGGATCTCCTGGTCACTTACCTAGACACTTGGGGCATGGAACAAGTGAAGATCAAAAACTAGACAGGATTGCAGTTTATTGACACCATGACATGACAGCTGTTGTCACTGGAAGTGGTTAGTGAGAGCAGGAAGGTGGTCTCAGCGGACATCACTGGGACCTTTCCACCCACCCCATTCACCTTTTCAGCTAGAAGCCATGGATTCAGAGTGGAGATCACTACTACCCATGCCATTCCTAAACCCATCTTCTGTTTCGTCCATCTATTGAGGCCTGGGTTCCTCCTCTTCTTCAAGTTAAAGGCAGAGAGTGGGAAGAGTCATGTGTCAAGAAAGAGATGGGCTGCTGTCGGTGGTGGCGCACACCTTTATTCCTAGTACTTTGGAGGCAGAGGCAGGCGGATCTCTGAGCTTGAGGCCAGCTTGGTCTACAGAGCGAGTTCCAGAACAGTTAGAGCTACAAAGAGAAACCCTGTCTGGAAAAGCAAACAAAAGGAAGGAAGGAAGGAGACAAGAAAGAAGGGAGGGAGGAAGGAAGAAGGAAGAGAGACAGGAGGAAGAAAAGGGCTGGAGATGTAGCTCAGTGGCAGAACACTTTCCTAGCGTATGTGAATCCCCGGGAAGGAAGGTGGCCAGGAAGGAGCTGAGGTTTGGTGGATGTCTAAGAAACACAGAAGTACCTGTCTCGAGATTGTACGTGTGAGGCCTGTGCTTAAGCACCATTCCCACACACCAGCCCCCTAGAAGTGGGGACAGGTGGTGGCAGTTCGTGACGGGGAATGCCTGCTTTGCCTGTGTGCCTTTCTGATTAGGGAAGGAATTGGAATTGTGGGATTTCTGTTTCAAGTCATGACATCAGAATAGACCAAGAATGCCTAAAACTATCCCTAAAGCACCCACACTGCAGCGTGGAGGGCAGTACAGGCTACCACCATCCCTTCATTCCACTAGGAGAGAAGACAGGAATGGAGCCATTCTAGGATGTGGGGCACAGCAGGCGTGAGCCCCTTGTCACCCTGATCCCAACACCACTTCCTCTGCCAGCCCAGATCCTGAGCCAGGTTTTGGAGCCACCTACTCAAAACCTGAAGGATTGGGCTCTGTTTGTATGGCTGGTGGCTCTCAGTGCTGGTGGCTCTCAGTCAGTGTTCTGGGATTCTGGGGCTTCACCTATATCCAGAAGGGTAAGATACTGTCAGGTAAGTCTTGGCCAGAGGAACAGTTTAGGGAAGGAAGTGTCACCTTTGTGACCTGGCTTGCTGTTAGGTGGACAGGAGACGGGTGGGAAGCCAAATATTAAGACATCCTAGAAAAGCCTACCAAATATGTGAACACTTCCATGTGTGGCATACGTATGTCTGTGCTCACACGAGCTCAGGAGGAATGGGTTTTGTGACTTGCTCTTTGAAACCAGAGAGGAGAGGAGAAGCTTACAGGACTACCTCCCCCAGGCTGAGGGGTTGCTGGTCTCAGTGGCTACTCCCCACTTAATCCCCTGACCCAGAAGATAAACAAGTGGTAGCATTGTTAGGTGGCACCCAAGAAGCAGCCTGAGGAGGTAAGGAAAGGGGCAGGGGCCAACTCCCCTCAAAGCCCCTTGTTGTAGTAAACCACCTCGATGCTGGGGTGTTGAGCTTGGATCTGATCTCTCAGCTCCGGCTCCAGCCTGGTCACACGTATGGAGCTGCAACAGAACAGCGCAGGCTCGATGGATGTACCCTGGGCTCAGCACCTCAGTCCCAGGGCCCGGCTTCCCCTCGCTCCCAGAATCCTCTCCTGGTTTCAGAAGGGCTGGCTCACTGTCATTCATTCCCCCAGCTCCCACATCACCCGTGGGCCTCCCTGGCCTCCCAGGCACAGAGATGCGGCATCCTGTGCAAGGATTCTGGTCCGGTCCAAGGGCATCACTCACCTTCTCTGGGGGAACAGGGCACAGCACAGGGGCGTGGCGAATACCAAGCTAGGGAAGAAGAGCACGGAAACGCCTGTGAAGCAGGCCTGAGCATCCTCTCCCGGCACCCCACCTCATGGAGACGTCTTGGGGAGCTTTATCCCAGGTGTAAAGGTTTGGAAATGGACCCAAAGGACCATTTAGGAGTGATAAACTCAGTCCCGACATTAGACTCTGGGTGAGGAAAGCACCTCACGAGCATTGATCCAAAGCCCCGTGATTAGAAAGTGACAGAATCAGGATAAAATCGGGGCTGGAGAGATGGCTGCTCTTCTGGAGGACCCAGGTTCAATTCCCAGCCCCCACATGGCAGCTGACAGTCATCTGTAACTCCCAGGCTCACACATGGTGCATATTCATACACATCAAATAATTATAAAAGAATAATATTTAAAAGACAAGTGTAAAACTCAGTAAAAAATGTTTTAAAAAGGGGGGAATAAAATCTGCTGGACCTCCTGGATTGTGCCAGAGTTTATTTGCAAGGTTTTCTCTAGTGAATAAAGACTGAACCCCTCACCAAACGGCAAGAACCCCTAGGACTCTACACACACATGTATTATGCACTGTGAGTATCTACATCAACTGAATGTATGACTGAGCAATGTGTGTAAGCTCCTGAAAGGTGATAAGCGCCCTCCACACTCAGAATGATAAAGGCTCTCCAATGGCCTAGCAAACCTTTGCATACTTACCAGAAGCCTACCAGTCCCACCTGCAGGGGCGCTCCCAGCCAGGGGCGGTGCTGTGGGGAGACAGAGACAGCAGAATGGTTTGTGTCCCATCGAGGCTCCCCACCATGGTTCTAACCCATCAACTCTGCCTCTGAGCCCTTGGACATCTGGAATGTTTCTCCCTGCCGCAGAGCCTTGGAACTGGCTGTTCTCTCTCCCTGAAACACTCTTTGTCAGACTCTCCTTCTTCTTTGGATCTTCCAAGGCCTATCCTTGCCTAAATTGTTCCCCAGAGAGTCGCAATTATAATGCCCCACTGGTTTCCTACAAAGCACATTTTGTAACTACAATGATTGTTTACTGTTTTTGTTTGTTTTGTTTTTTGAGACAAGGTCTCACTGTGTAGCGCTGGCTGACCTGGAACTTGCTATGTAGACCAAGCTGGCCTTAAACTCACAGAGATCCACCTGCCTCTGCTTCCAGACTGCTGGGATTAAAGGTGTGTGCCGCAATGCCAGCCCTATTGTTTCTTACTTAGTTAGTTTCTGTAGACTGCACGCCTCATAGGGACAGGGTCTACAACCATCCTAGTTCTGTTTAGCATGTCTGGTGTATAGTCAGGACCTCACATTTATTTGAGAATGGATGATTCGATGAGTGAGCTGGAGCCTGTATTCCTGAGCCTTGCTTCCCTGTCATGCTTGTGCATTCATGAGAGTGTGCATGTGTGCCTCTTAGTGGGGGACACAGTGAGTGACACCACGAGAATGCAATCAGGCATGGCAATGACGGTCATCCCTGTGCATGTCAGAAACCTCTGGACAGAATAGTGAAAAGTGACTTCTTACCTTCAGGAAGTCTTTCTTCTCCAGAGCGTTCATGATCACTGGAGGAATGGCTGAGGGGCGAGCAGGGCAATGAGAGTTAGCGAACTCTGGGAACTGACAGAAGACCTCCCTCCCGCCTCCTCCCATTCTTCCTGGACCTGGTGACTCTGAGCTGTCAAAACCCCTGAGACCCTCAGCCCATCTTCTCTCCTAGCTTCCCGAGCTCCACCAGACATCTCCATCTCACCCATGGCAGGAATCGCCATGCCGATTCTCGATATCACCACCTGGAAGATTCCCTGTTTGGCAGCAGTCACCGAGTGGCCAAGCCTCTGACCTGCCTCATCAGTCACTGGAATGCCCACCTGCAGTTCCCTAAGAAGAGAAAGAGGCTCGGGTCAGAAGATCTCTGGAGACCCCTTACCTTCCCCCATTCAAAGGCTGGTTTTGAACAGCCCCCAGGTGTAGGAAAAAGCCCAGAGAGAAGCAGACAGGTGTTGTGCAGCCCCGCCCAGCCAGGGAGCAGGGGGAGGTTGGCCACGCTGTGTGGGTTGAAGAAGGTGAGTTTGAAAGGAGGGCTGGGTGTAGAGTAATTCCCAGAGTATTGGGATCCAGCATGACAGGAACAGCTATCTTGATCATAACTACCAAGAATCACCCTGAGTAGTCCAGGTAGGGCTTTCTCCACACAGCATCCCAGATTAGTATACATAAGCAAAACTGTTAAGAATGTTATTTGGACTGACCATTTAATCCTAGCACTTGGAAGGCAAAGGCAGGCAGATCTCTGTGAGTTCAAGGCTAGCCTGTTCTATATCATAAGTTCCAGGTCTGTATTGAGAAACCCTATCTCAAGAAGAAGGAGAAGGAGAAGGAGAAGAAGAAGGAGGAGGAGGAGGAGGAGGGAAAAAACACATATTGAGCTTTATGACCAAAGATACTGGTTGCACCACTGCCAGAAATGCGATGTTCTTGATGGTGGCATAAGACCCATCAGGATCCATTTTTGCTTATTGAAGTCACCTTCATTCTGACAATCATATACACCCCTCCTTCTCATTCAAGTAGTGAGGGTCTAGCCTTGCTGCTGTCCAACACCACGCCCCTATCAGCAGTTTCCCAGTGAAGAGCCCTCTGTGAAATCGTGGATCTGTCTGCACCCTTCACACAGAGTAAGCCAGGGCCCAGTGGCTCACATCAGTGATGGAGAGGACGCTCCCTGTACCTGCTGGTCTGCAGAAGTCGAGGGTACCTGGACATCCCTGTGCCAGGAGCCTGGGCCACTCACCTCTGCCTCATCAGGGGGATGTTGATGCAGTTGGCAGCGGCCACAGCTGCGAAGGGCACAAATCGACCCACTAGTGGGGGCAGGTGCTGGGGAGGAAAGGCGGGTTCAGTGGCTCTGAGGACCACGGGTGGGGGGTTCAGAGCGAACCTGGGGAACCTCTTGAGAGGGTAACAGGGAGGAAGGAAATGGGTAGAGGATTGATGAGAGGCCTGGTGGCATAAGGGAGACTTTACCTTGGTGAGAGATTTGAGTCCCAGAGCAGTGGCCACAGCCCCGGTGGTGGCACTCACATAGGCTGTTCCCAGCTGCCTGTGGAGGAAAAGGCCAGATCACAAGGAGAGCGGCAGGGTCCGGCATGCCTTTCCCTTAAGGACATCACAGGTGTCCAATGCAGGGGGAGTCAGAGGATAGCTTCATTGAAAGCCCCCCCTCTCCAATGTAAACTTCTGTAAAAGTCCTCCTCCCTCTTTAAACAGAGTGGGTCCCCCAGAACAGATACAAAAGGACAGCGTGCCCTCGGGTGGTGGTCGAACGTGAAGTTGAAAGGAGAGCTGAACCCCTGGCACAGGGGTCCACGAGGGGAGGGTGTTCTCACCGCACAGTGATGGGAGCATCCCCACTGCGATTGGAATAATTCACGATGGCATTGAAGGACTGGTTCACCCACTGCCAGAATACCACAGTCGGCGTCGTCCTGAGGGTGCGAGGATAGACTACTTATGTCTGTCCCTCACCGTATCCCCTGTTCTTGAACCCCACTGTTGCATGTGTGTGTGTGAGGGACTTGGACCCACTGGAACTTGAGTTGCAGAAAGTTATGAGCTGCCATGTGGGTTCTGGGATTTGAACCCAGGTCCTCTGGAAGAGCAGTCAGTGCTCTTAACCACTGAGCCATCTCTCCAGCCCCCAAACTCCCAATATTGAAACCCTCAGAGTTCCTCAAGAGGTACTTAACTGATGGTCCCAGAACTGGTACAACTTATACAAGTGGACACACACACACACACACACACACACACACACACACACACACACACTGTTCTTTGCCCAAAGGGGGGAGCAAAAAGGAGACTTCTAGTCACCCAGCCGTGTTCTGGAACACAACGCTTGAGGGGATGTGGGTAAGACTTGCCTGTAGAAGGTGAGCATGCAGCCCGTAATGGTCATGTTCATGGGCACTTGGGCTGACATGCGGCCAATCAAGACCACCTTTTCCCCTGTGTCCGGGTGGAATGCAGAGTCATACACATACTTGGCTCTCCATAGCTGGTCCTCCGTGAGCCCCGGGGTTACCACACCGGCCCTGGAGGAATTGGAAAGGAACCAACAAGCTGTTGTAGGGGTCAGACCTGCCCTTCCTGTCTCTGCTGCTTGCCTCAGGGAACTCTTGGCAAAGGACCAGGAACTTTACTACTCAAGCCTAGAGTAAAGGAGCTCCTTGTCTGTGGGGAAGGCCAAGGCCTCTCCTATGTGAACTTTGCTCTTTCTATATCCTTTTTAGTCCCACATTTTCTCCAGGGTCACAGTGATGGTGGTTTTCAAAGGGTCTGAAATGACTAGGGGCATTCCAAGAGTTATTCGTGAAGAGATGAGAGTTATCGCCCGTCTGTCTGCATAGGACTCTCTTTTGGGCCTCTTTGTCCTTGCAGAGTGGACAGCCCTGAGAATGGTCCTGAAAGGGGATCTGTGAATTGCAGAGCTGCTGCCTACCCATAAATTCAACGCTGCCTCCTCAACGCAATGTCCTAAGATCCTTTGAAGCGAAGTGCTGTGTCACTGTCATCTGGCTGGAGGCTGGCTCACCTGTAATTCTGCACAATGTTTCGGGAAGCTTCCAGCTGGTCCCCGGACAACAGCAGATTTCGAGGGTCAGTAACTGTGAAGAAATGCCGGGCTCTGCCTAGGAATGTGCTTTGGTCCCATCGAGGTTCCTGGATGTTGATACCCAAGGGCAAGTCACCCATCTTCTGCAGGGCAGCAAGAACAAGGATCAGGTCCAAGGACTCCACTTGGGGAAACTTTGGTGGCTCTGCCCCAGTCCCAGAAACTATAACCAGTTCTTGCAAGAGTTCAAGGTGACTCTAGACAGATAAGCATGGGTAAGGGTGCAGTTGTGTCCTAGGTAGTGTTTTAGCCAGGGACCTATAGCTACTGAGGAGGGGAGGGAAGACCAGAACTAAGAGTGTGTATAGCTTTCCTCACGCTGGCCTGGTGCAGATTTTACATGGTGAGGATTTACATTTGTGTGGTTGATTCAACAGCGGCAACTAATCCGGGGCAGCTATGTTGAGCTCCTGCTGTAGGAACATGGATAACACGCCCAGTCCCATTTCAGTTTCAGGCCCCAGCTGCTCTAAAGCCAAGGTTAAAAAAAAAAAAAAAACTTCCAAGGCTGTTTGGGAAGATGACAAAAGTCATCGGCCTCTCAGGCCCCTGATTGGAGGAGACCAGGATCATTAGCCACCTGAGGGCTGATCAGTACCACATCTCAGACAGACGGCTCAAGTGGCAACCATTTGTGAGGGGAAGAGCATGTACACATCCCCTTCAAACTCATTTGTTTCAACTCCTGCACAAAAACCCGGGACTCTCCTGGTCCTTGGTTGAATAGGGCTGACACAGACATCGAGGCAACTCTCTCTGAGCCATCCACTTCAGGAAAAGGCAAGATTAAGTGGATGCCCCTCCACCCAGCACAAAAAGGAATGCCAGGAGCAGCCATCTGGCTGTGTTAAACAAAAATCCTGCAGAATGACTAATCCCCTCCAACTCCACTTCCTCCCTACAGTAGACAACGCCCCTACCAGACTCCCACATACCCACACACAAAGACATGCACACCCTCTCCGGCACACAAACAGGTTAGACCCACACTATACACACACTAGCCAAGCAGTCAGAATACCGCTACACACACACACACACTCACACACTCAGCAATGTCTATCAGGTGCAGACATTTGAAAGTATGCCTACACACAGCCTCACCCAACCACTCCCTCCTTGTGCCCTGCAGATCCTAACAGACCGTGCAATGCGGAATCCCTACAAAACAGAGAGCGCCTTTCAAGGCAAGCCTCCCCTCGGACCCCAGGCACTCACCCCTACACTCTGAAGATTCCCAAGGCAGCAAGCACTCAGGCTTTCCGGGGTTTTCAGCCTCTAGCAGCTCGCAGAACCGCCTTCCTCACAGCTCTCTGCTTTCCTCCCATCCATCACCGGGACGTCACGAGTGACGCTGAGCAGCAGGGAAGGGCGGGGGCTCCCTAGGCTCGTTCGCCCAACCCGCCCCCGGCTTGGCAGAATTCCGGGGCAGTGGACGTCCTGTAGAGCGACTCCCCCAGACCAGGCCGTTGAGACCAGACCGGACCCAGTCGTGGGAAGCAGTTCTGGCGGCCTTCCCAACAAGAGAGAGGAGGGGAGGAGCCGCCCCACTTGTCTCCTTCGCTTGCAGTCCCTTGGCTTGCCTCGGGAGGCACCCGACCCGGCAGCACCCGGTCTAGGTGCACTGGGCACGGGTGAGCGGCGTGGAGGGCGGGCCTCTGATGGTGCGCCGCCTGCAGGGACTCGGGTTACGTCTTGTTTACTTGATGGCTGCCTTGGCAATGGGCCCTGTCTGCTTGGCCCCCTGGTCTGGTACTCCAGGATCTATGTACTCCTCTTGCAGATCCTCACCATTTGCATCCCTTCCCAGCCACATTCCTGAGGTGCCTGTGTCCCTCTTTGCCACCCAGCCCCCAGCTCCATGGTGCCAGCAGTTTCCTTACGCCTCTAACACTTATCCGTGCACAGACTGACGCTCCAGTCCCTGGGATGTGCACGGCCAGAGTCGCCCGTGATCTCTGCTTCTTGCATCCAAGCTGGTGCATCCGAAAGATTGCTCTCCTCCTGTGTGCTGGGGTCAGCTCCTCTGTCTTGCGGACTTTCCAGAACAGGGTGCCCAGAGAAACAATTTTTCAACTCAGAATGTGAAGAAGGCATTATACACAGAGACCACCCCAGAGACCACCGCCTCCTCCCTCCCTCCCTCCCTCCCTCCCTCCCCCCCCCTCTCTCTCTCTCACACACACACACACCCTTCATCCATTAGCACCCAGAACCCGGCCGCTGCACACCGAGACTCCAGCTTTCTTTCGTTCCTGCTCATCTCGGGTTCATGTTCGGCTCTTTTGCTTGTGACATTCTCCCACAGAGACCTCAGGAGTGACCACGAGAGAGGTGGCAACTTCACGAGCCCAGGAAGCTGGGGGGTGAGGGCTGGAGAAGACGTGATTCTAGTCGCCAGAGCGAGGCTCCAGAGCTGCCCTAAATTCTAAAAACTTGTGGGGTTCATAATTGGGGCGGGCAGAGCCCAGAGGTACCTGGCAGGTGACGAGCTACAATCCGGACCGGCTACCAAAGGTGCCAGAAAAGAGTGACTGGCGGCGTCAGCAGCCAATGGAATCCCAGGACGGTGCAGGCCAGCCTAATTCCCGCAGCCGCGCCGAGCGTGGGCGGGGTCCTTAGCTGGTTCAGTGTCTCGCGCCCGACAGCGAAGCGGGCGTCTGCACAAGCAACCAGGTGAGGGGGCCGAGTCCTGGAGGTAGAGGGGCAGGAGGGCCCACAATGGGGAGTCTGTTTTGGGGATCACAGAGATGCTCTGGAGGGTGCGGTCTCTGGTTTTGCACTAGTTTATCACCAGGCATGGGATAGGGTCTCGCAGCGGCTTCATCTCCACAGCTGCAGCCTGGAGCGTAGCGGTCGCTTGGGGGTGGCGGTGGGGGCCAGCTCGGCTGCAGCTGTCCCAGGTCCTGAAGTCTAGCTCGGGAGGCTAGCCTCTACCCGTATACACACACAGGAAAGGCACTGCTCTAAACTGTCCTGACACTCATTTTTCTTGTTCCTTTTAAAGTTCAAGAGCCTGCTGTAATCCCATCTCCACTCTCTGAACCTCAACTGAGGACTGGAGACCGGGTGAATGACTCCGTTGAGGGCAGCAATGAGGGGTGAAAGAGAGCTTCTCAATGGCCTTGTAGAAAAAGCTCCCCAAGTCCAAGATGGTTCTGAACTGGGCAGATTTCCTCTGGCCCCAGGGCGGGAGAGGTGAGGGGCCCAAGAAATGAGGAGTCAGGATGCTCAAGGCACGGGGACATGGAGTACTGGGGCGATACAGCACTCATGCCTCTCCCAACCCTGCTCTTCCTGCGCAGATTTGGAACACACACTTGTCAGCATTGAGAGTGAGGGCTTCCGCCTCGCTGAGACTCCAGCCCTACAGAGCACGTTCATGGAGCCTGGAACACCAATAACCAACCTTTGGAGGACAAGCAGACTCCCTCTGGACCTGTAGGGAAATGCCCCAGCCTCGCCACCATGGCACGTGGTTTCACAGTGGGCTTTGACCCATTGGGTCTAGGAGAACTCAGCTCTAGCTCTCTGAGCTCCCTCTCCTCCCGAGGCCATCTGGGCAGCGACTCAGGCTCCACAGCAACACGATACTTGCTGAGGAAGCAGCAGCGCCTGCTCAATGGGCCCCCCCGCGGAATCCGAGCCTCGTCCCCCATGGGCCGAGTCATCCTCATCAACTCCCCCATTGAAGGTGGGTGTGGGGCTCAAGAATGGCTTGGATGGGGATTTCTGAGGATAGCAAGGACCGATTAGGATGAGGGTTGATTAGAGCCAGTATGGTCAGGGGGATTCAAGAGATGGGAAGGGGATTGTCTTCCATTTACCCTTGCCTCTCCTCCAGCCAAAATTTCAAGGCTTCAGAGCTGTAGAAGGATCAGAGGTGAGGGATGGAATCATTGTATAAGGAAAAGATATAAGTTAGCCCCAGGAATGCACAAGGCAGAGTGCTGAGTCAGCCCCTCCATCCCTTGGTCTCTGCCTTCCTCCTGACACGTTTGCATGCACTTTAGGGAGTGAAGCAGGATGGAGGAGATCTCCCATTAACCAGCCCGTTGTGTGACCAGCTGGGTGCTGGCCTGTGGAGAGTCGGTGCCCAGGCTTCAGAGTATGAGGGGAAGGGTCTGAAGACACAGCAGTGTACGTTCAGAAAAAGGGAGGGGGACCAATAGGAGGACCGAGAGTCAGGCAGTGTACCCCAGAGCTGGTCCTTAGGGGGGAATGATTGTGTATGGATGCCTGACACTACGCCATTGCACACCAGTTCTGTATCTAGCCCGGTTAGGTCTTGCGGGGACCTGAGAGGTGAAACTCAGTGTTCACCTTTCGGGGATTGCAGCGTAGTCAAACTTAGAACACAGCAGCAAGAGCAGCTGGGGGGTTGCCAGTGTCCCCCACAAAAGTCGGAAGTGAAAAGCATGAAGCATGATGGGCTTGTGCTACAGCGACAGCTGTGAGGCGACAAAGAGCTTGTGAGCAAGACAGGACCTTGAATGCCGGGAGGGAGTGAGGCCCTGAGGGACTGGGCTTTCTGTGGACAGGACTAGATACGTATCTCTAGCTGTTCTCCTCTTTCTTAGCACGGTTCCCCTGGCTGGATCCCAGGCTGGACCTTTCAGGCCTGGCGCTTCCCCTGATGCAACCAGGAGTCTCTCTGATCCCTTCAGACGTCGCTGGGTGGGGTGGGGCGGGGTGGGCTGCCTGGGATATGAATGGCACCCTCATTTACCACCGTAGGTCCCACCCTCAGGCAAGCAGCAAGGCGCTACTGAGGTCACCATTGCGACTCCAGAAGGCAGGAGTGATGACTCCTTTTCCCTCTCCTAGTTAGTTCATTCATTTTATTGCTGCTCATTCATTCATCTGTTTATTTATCTAAAAGTGTTTATTAGATCCCTACTATGCATTCCTAGGAATGCACGGGTGAGAAGGCACTACGACATCCCCTGGTTACGCTTGCAGACTTCCAAAAGGCAGTAAGCGATGCCCAGATGAACAATAAGACACAAGATAGAAAAACCCTGAAGGAAAATAATGGAGACCAGTAGACATGAGAGTGTTCCTAAAGCTTTGGAGCATGCCAGAATTGCCTGGGAGGGCTTACTAGAAGGTGGATTGGGGGCGGGAGGAGCTGGTGAGATCGCTCAGTGGGTAAGGACACCTGCTGCCAAGCCCCATGACCTGAGTTTAATTCCCAGGACCCACACTGTGCTAAAGAACTGATTCTTGAAAGCAGTCCTCGGACTTCTGACTTCCACATACGTGCCATGACATACACATGCACACACTAAACAAACTAAACAAACAAACAAACAAACAAACAAATGTAATTTTAAAGAAGATTGATGGGAGGCCGGAGAGATGGTTCAGTTAAGAGTATTGGCAGCTCTTCCAGGGGTCGTGAGTTCAATTCCCAGCACCTACATGGTGGCTCACAACCATCTATAATGGGATTGGATCCCCTCTTCTGTCTACATGCAGATAGAGCACTCATATATGTAAAATACATAATTTTTTAAAAATTGGTTTTTCAATACAGGGTTTCTCTATGTAGTTCTGACTGTCCTGGAACTCACTCTCCAGACCAAGTTGGCCTCATACTCAGAGATCCTCCTGCCTCTGCCTTCCAAGTGCTGGAATTAAAGATGTGCACCACTACTTCTCAGCCTGTCATTCTTTTTGTTAAGATATTTATTTATCTGTCAAGCCAGGTGTGGTGGCAAGCACCTTTAATCACAGCACTTGGGAAACAGAGGCAGGCAGATTTCTATGAGTTCGAGGCCAGTCTGATCTACAGAGCTAGTTCCAGGATGAGCCAAGTTTCCACAGAAATCTCGTCTTGAAAGAGAGAGAGACAGAGAGAGAGAGAGAGAGAGAGAGAGAGAGAGAGAGAGAGAGAGAGAGAGGAGGGAGTCCAAATTCTCAGATTAGATACATTCAGGAATTTCTCTATGTAGCCCTGGCTGTCCTGGAACTCCAAGCTGGCCTCAAACTCAGAGATCCTCCTCCTGCCTCTGCCTTCCGAGTGCTGGGATTAAAGGCATGGCTGGATTTGTTTTATTTTATTTTATTGACATCCAGGACTTAAGTGAGTGGTTTGGCTATATTATTTTCCTTTAAAAAACTTTTTTTATTTATATACTTAACTTTTAAATTTAAATTAGAAACAAGGTTGCTTCACAAGTCAATTCCAGGTCCCTCTCCCTTTCCCTCCCCTCCTCCCGTGCCCTCCCACCAACCCCCCCAATATCCCCTCATTTCCTCAGGGAGGGTGAGGCCCTCCATGGGGGTGTCCATAGTCTTTTAAAAAAACTTATATTGATTTTTTTCTTTGATTTGGATTT